TGCAGTGATTTGTCGCCAAGACAAATAAGCGTACATCGAGCATCCGATTGAAATGCCTACCGTCTCTTAAAGAGCTTTTCTTTTCGCAGTCGCTTTGTTTGGTGGGCAAGTGCTGGTGGGTCGCTGAGCCCTGATTTTGATTGGGCGTGGCCGGAATAAGGGAAGGCCCTGGCTCTGTCAGAAATCTGGGTCACTCATCAACAGTGTTTCAGAAACACTGAAGCTGAGGTGACGGGTGTGTCTTCGTTCAGTTTCATACACTCCCACGTCTTTACCTGAGTCTAGGTTATCTGCAGTCAGCCAGCTTGTCTGTCCATTGATCAATGCAAAGCACTGACAGTTATTGGTTAGTTTTCTGAGCAGCGTCAGGTGCTGCGTACGACCTTTGATTGTAGTCATGGTTACCAGGACAATTCCAGTGTGATATGAGACCATAACACGACCGTCTAATTTCAGAAGTGAAATCATCGTGCATACCGAACAAACGGAGTTGCCAGGTATTCTACTGCAATCAAACTGATATCGGTCAACCCACAAGGTTCAGCATTCAATCCGGAGCGATAAAGTACCATATAGGCAAAGCACATCTCGGTTATGGCCCCCGAGTTGCGACATGGTGCCGACCACAAATAAGAGTGATAAAAATACGTTGAGTAACAGGATTTAGGATTAGCAAGACGCATCAGAGAAATTTGTGGGTTAACTTTAGAACAAGTGAAAAGAAACGATCGGAACAACGAGAATTATGCAACACGTAGGTTGCAGATAACATTAGTGAATCTTTTGCTATTTCGGTCAGCTAACTTCGTTCCGCCTGGTTCACGAGAATCACTCTCACGGTGGTACACAGCGATATCTATTATCCTACCTAACTGCTAAAATGGCCACCCGGTCGATCATTCCAGAATTTATGTTTGTTTCAGTCTAGTGATTTCACGAATAACTTCAGTTAGAATGAACTTAACATGCATATCGATGAGAAAGTGTTTGTTGCTCTAGCTTCCGCAGGCGTCTTCTGTTTTAGTACAGCTCTCGTGGTTTCTTCCAGGACGATATGATGAGTTGATTCATGAAACATGACGTCCTAAACTATTCCAGTGATTTCCAACCACTATCTCACGAAAATTACAAAATGGATTTCGAGAACCAAACGAGTCAACCGTGGATTTAGATGATTGTGGAAAAAAACTGGACCAGGATTGCTCCGTTCATCCAAAAGGAATCTCCTGACAGCAGGATAATTGTACATCTGGAGGGTGGCAGTTACCACAAATAGTTGTCAGCATGCTCGAAATATTAGCATTTAACCCCGGTGAACTAGATGTTCTTGTTTTTATTTTTATCCATTGCTTACCAAGTAATAGGTATCCATCTCGATTAGGTATGGGAAAGTGAGCCTACAGTCTGAACACTACGGAAGATGGCTGAAGGAAATACAAAAACATAATTTGTTACTGGTTGTATCCTGAGAGTGTCAAATAGTGATGTTTCATTGCTTGACTGTGGAATGTAGAAAAAGCCGGAATGTGAGACCATGTGAAACCATCTTAGCAGTCCAAAGCTGTCTGCGACCAAATACTCTCAGGTGCTTCATTCTTCCTACGAGTGAATTGCCGTTGATCTTGGAAGAAAACAAGCAAAAATAGTCACAGGTTCTATAGTTTCCTGGTATCTCATTTAAGCGTAAGCAAAGTATGTCGAAAGACCTAATACTCTTCGAGGTTACTGTCGATTTCCGGGACACTCATCGAATAACCACATTTAGAGGCTGAATATTGCCACTATACACAGACATTTACTGCATAGGCTTTCAGTTGACGATAACATGATATTCACCACAACGTAGAAAGAAGTCCCTGGAATCGAATGCTGATTACCTCATGCATTGAGGTGAATTCCAGCAAGCAACCTTGTCGTCATATATGCATTACTCTGTAGAAAGTGTGCACGATGGACTGGACGATGTGAAGGGCTTTAATCGCACTCAGAACGATGTAACCACAAAGAAATTTCCCTTAGACTGAAAATTAACAGCTTCAGGCGGTGGAAGCTAAGCAAGCCCCCTTCCCAGACTCGACAACCCTGAACGGCATCGCACAGCCTAGAAATATCACTTTTAAAAAATACTCAAGTAGCAAGAAGGCATGAATTCGACCTGCATAGCTCACTTGCCCCAACAAAAAAAGAAGACCGACTTACTTTCAGAAGTGGGGACACGCCACACACCATTTAGAACATTGAAGAGTAGTTGGGATGGGCAGTACATACGATGATCTAGTAATGCTGAGTAATTGGCACTGCAGAATGAACCTCATAGTCTCCTACTGAGCATGGAGGATGTTCAATAAGGTCACAAGCTTGAAGCGATGATTACGCTACGGGAAAGTAACAAAAGCCCATCGTGGAATTGCCCCCTTCCCCCGTGTATATTCAGTGAGATCCTGAATGGAAACCTAACCAACCAAAAAGCTGTTGGTATCATGGTTGAAAGGGTTTCCAAAAAACAGTTTGGATTTCAAGGCGGTCGAAGTGTGACTTGATTCATCTACACCGCGAGACATATGTAAACGGAATCATATCAGCCCAGCCAGTTGCTTCACGGACTTTTTGCAGATTTCTTGGAAACCTTTCGCCCACTTAACAAAGGGGCATTACGGATCATCTTATGAGAGCTTGGCTGTTCAGTCAAAGTTGACAACTCAATCCAAACCTTTCACGCAAGGATAAGAGCCCGGACCTACCATACTATCTCAACTTAGTTCGAAACCGATACAGTGTTTTGTCCCTGCTATAGCGCTGTTCACTCCCCAACTACAGACCATCCGTTAGGAGGCTACCCGCGTGTGCCAAAGTGATATAAAATTCAGTGCATATCTGACGGTTGTTTATTCCGTCTGAAGTGCTTCCTGCCCAAAACACCATTGCAGTAATCCAGCGTCTCTGTGCTGCTATTTGTAGATAACTGCGCTTCGTTTTCGCATTCTGAAGCCGAATAACGGCGACTGACTGCGGAGTAACTTGGTTTGGCTTAAATATAAATATTTTTAAAAAGCCCGCGCTGCACGGGTTTTTGCAGCACAACATCCACAGACCCAAATCGTGAATGAGAAATCGAAGCACCAGCTGCTTAGACCAGAGTAGCATCTGATCGGAAACGCGACTGAAGTATTCGTATTTGATAAAGGAAACTACTCACAAGGCTGCTGAAAACTCTTCGACAGCCCACGACCGGTTTCCCTCTTCTTGAGGCTCCTTTGCTCATGGGTACCAGGAGTGAACGGCGTCGACCCATTGTGTCTAGTGGTTTTTATTTGCAATGTCTCCTCGCCTAACACCGACGTTCTGCGAAGAACAAACACTTTCCTAGTCGGATGCAGTATGCTTCGCAACCAGCTGTGCTGGTTAGACAACTTGAACCCAGTGGCCGCAACTCAAATCCCAAAACAGACTGTTTGCGGTCAGTTCGAAATCGAGCGCATGCGAAATTCTGTCTTTCGGCTACTCTCAATTTAATTTTGAAGCTTTGAGTAACGACGCGCCACCATTGAGGTACAAATCTGCTTGAAATTCCAACCAGCCATGACTGTCGAATTCAGAGTTTGACATTCTGGATCTTAAAAATTGGATTATCATTATAATTCTATTAAAGGAATAACATTTCAACGGCGTGCTCGTAAATCTCTTAAAAAAATAAAGGAAGCGGCATGTTTACCAATCTTCCCCTACTGTAGTACAGCTCAGCCGATGATTCCGTTAAACCTGTATACAAATACTAGTTAGAAAACACTTGGTTTCATGGGAGCCACACTATTTCATGTGCTGTTCAGGAGAGATAAATACTGGTGCACGGGGCTCGATATTGCGCGGACAGTGTTGTTTTAACTCTGTCCATAATGCCTATTTCATCCGAGAGTGTTGGTGTTCTGGCCGGTAGATTTGTTTACCATTTGTCCTAACGACTGAGGAGTTTAGCAACAAACTGTCGGTGGTAGTTCTACACACAGTCGCTTGAGCCCAGTGTTGATAGCACTTTGTTTGTAGATTGTCAACGCACGACAACTTCAATTCTGACGGTATGTGAGTGCAAGGGTGCGTACAGATAAACCGTATTGTAACACCTGCACCAGGTGTGATCGAAAGGAATACCTAAAAGATACCGTCTTTGATAAAATAGTGACAGTTTTCACATATCAATAACAGAAAGTGGATTTAGGCAATTGAACGGCTGACGAATAATGCATCGGAACTCTTGAATTGAATTGGATCTTTGCAGGTAATACTGTTGAACAGTTTTCGCTTGCCCGNCTCAGCCGATGATTCCGTTAAACCTGTATACAAATACTAGTTAGAAAACACTTGGTTTCATGGGAGCCACACTATTTCATGTGCTGTTCAGGAGAGATAAATACTGGTGCACGGGGCTCGATATTGCGCGGACAGTGTTGTTTTAACTCTGTCCATAATGCCTATTTCATCCGAGAGTGTTGGTGTTCTGGCCGGTAGATTTGTTTACCATTTGTCCTAACGACTGAGGAGTTTAGCAACAAACTGTCGGTGGTAGTTCTACACACAGTCGCTTGAGCCCAGTGTTGATAGCACTTTGTTTGTAGATTGTCAACGCACGACAACTTCAATTCTGACGGTATGTGAGTGCAAGGGTGCGTACAGATAAACCGTATTGTAACACCTGCACCAGGTGTGATCGAAAGGAATACCTAAAAGATACCGTCTTTGATAAAATAGTGACAGTTTTCACATATCAATAACAGAAAGTGGATTTAGGCAATTGAACGGCTGACGAATAATGCATCGGAACTCTTGAATTGAATTGGATCTTTGCAGGCAATACTGTTGAACAGTTTTCATTTGCCGATGGTCCGATAAGTGCCAGGTAAAAGAACAGAGTAAACTGGAACTGTCCGTTGAAGCACAGTCATGATCATGTATTCTTCATAACGTGAGTGCTCCTACTTATAGACATGCTAGAAGTAAGGACATACCTATTCCAACACCCCGGGGATTTTCACAGGATACACAATGTTGTGTAATGGACTTTTGTGTGTGATTTTCCTCTGTGATTTCAGGGTGATACATGGTGGAAGAAGGTCCGAGTATCCGATTTTAACTAGACATAAGGATGCACACTTTCGTTGTCCCGTGGTCGGAAAGTGCTTCAGAATTCTCGAATTACAAGTGGGATTAGCCCATAAATGTCGGAAGATGAGGGAATAAAAGGTACAGTCATTATATATATATATATATATATATATATATATACCACTTCTTAAGAAAAACAGCCTGAATAACATAGCTCTGGCACAGGTGTCCTGATTTTGAGATACATTCCATTCATTCCTAGATCAAGCCTTGAAAATGTGACAGTTAGTGTTTTTTTTCTATTTACCGCCATCTATGTTACGTTACGTTGATTCGTTTCGGATCTACAAACCAATTCGGATAACTGGATGTAAATTTGGTGAAGGCCCATGGTGTTTCTGGTAGTTTTCGTGTTATGCGATTCTGAAGACACTTTTCGAAGATTGCAAGAAAGGGTCACATGAGGTGAAATTTCTCTCATTCTTTACAAATTGAAGGCTGTCTGCTCTCGACTGACTAAATTGTCTCTTTACCGGAAGGTCACCGGTTCGAAATCTCCGATTTCCTTGAAATGTACACCACTGGTGATTCCCAGTAAGGACGAGATACCTGCCTAGAGTTAATGCTCTACTAAAACCCGAAAATTAGTTATACGAACAGAAAAACGGGGAGCACTAAGAATGTCAGCTTGTTAAGGGACATCGTATTATGGATACCGGTTGATAAATCCTGTTGCAAGTCCGGATGCAGGTTTCTGTCTGCTTCGCTGTTGTAGCAGCCACACGGTTTCCCTGAATATCCGCAGGTGAAGCGCCGTAAGTCCTCGGCGGCTATGCTCCGAGCTGGACGACGTGCGTAGCCCTGTTGGGTTGTGTTGTGTTGCTGTGTTGTTATCCCACATGTAGGAACGTTTGCGTGTGTGGGTGTCACCATATGACTTGTTGCTACACTTATCATACGCCAGACAGTCGATGTCAGATGAGTCACCCCCGGTGTGTAGTGATTTGTACACATAGGGAAAGAAGGCGAGTCCTTGGCTCTCGGGCTCGATTGTGAGCTGTGTAGCCAGGTTAGTCACAAATCTGTGG